AATTCATCCGATTTCGCTCAAGTTTTAGATTTTGCTTTGTAAAAGTACATACTTTTAAAAATTATGTGTAATTCGAAACCTTTTTCGACTTTTACTAAATAAAATATTAAAATTAATAAATGTATGCTAAAATTTATTTTTTGCATATAATTATCTTTGTATACACGAATTTTATAAGTGTGTGCAAAAATTTTTCAATTCTCTTAAAGAGTTCTCGTGGTATGGCGAAATACGCAAAAAGTAAAATTAACATTAAGATCAAACTATGATCAAACTCTCCTGATCAAACTATGGGGACCATATTTCGGAGATCAGAAATCTGAATCCGTTGCAAAAAACGTATATTTATTCAGACAAAGTATGTTTTTGTGTCTGATTTCGTAACTTAAACTATCATCTTCACTAATTAATTAGCATATTTGAGGTCATCCTCTCGAACCATTAAGAATGAGTCCTAGAGCGTGAAGATTCGATCATTAGATCAAAAGTTATTCAGGGTGGTTCTTTGCTTATTTTGCACCCTGTACAATTATTATTTATTCTTTTGTTTTTAATTTATTGTGTTTATTATTTATTTACTGATCGTTTATTTATTGTGATGCTGTGGCGCTCAAAAGCGGGATTTAGTTCAAATGCAAATTTCGAAATTGTTCCAAATTTCAAAATTGCTGTATCTTGTTGAATCCAAATGCAACTCTGGGGATCGGTGAGCCTCAGCGAGTTGTTGATGCGCTTCGTTGTAAGCAAAATATCCACAAAACTTTTTAAATTTATTCTTCTAATTTAAATATTTTAGCGGGCTTTATTTAAAATATTTAATGCTTATTAAAATATGTAGTTTAGTTTATACTTTTTAAACACAAAGTAAAATAACCAAATATCGCAACTCACGAATGCATTTGACGTTTTACAATTGAGAAATTAAATGCTAAATCATGAAACACTTCATGAAATTTTCAATGTATTCTAATCTCGCGAATGTGGCTAAAATGATGAAAATAATTTTCTTATTTTTAGTTTTCGATGCCTTTAATTAAAACTTATCAGACTTATTTGGTTCAGAAAGCAATTTTGTAACTTTACCGAACTGAAGCCGAAGTAGTGCCTTACATTCAATTTTCGAACAAGTAGATATGTTCATTTGTTGAATTATTTGATTGTGACTACATTAATATTTATGTATATATTCGTAGAAATATGTGAATAAATTAGTATTTGTATTATAGAGAAATACCAGAAATGCACGGCTTCAAATATTCAATCATCAGTTTGAGTACGGAATGAAAATCACGTTTTTGTTCAATGAAAGCTTAGTCAAGCTCTAAATAAATAATTACTGAGATAGTTGAGAACTTAAATTTTTGAATGCGGAAATGTATGATAAATATATCGTAGCTTAATTTCAATTCAAAGTTATTATATGTAAAATATACTGGGTTTAAAGATAGACATGGAAATATGGATTGAATTTACGTTTTAAACGCGTATTTAATTTTATTGCTTGGACTCTGCTATTTCCTACGAATATTATTTTTTTTATGTTTACTCTTTTCTTAAAAACTGAGTAGAAATAAAATATAAAAATTTTGAGTCAGTTGACATCAATATAATCAAGTGCTAAAAAGGGAGTTATTTTTTACTTGTGCATGCACCCAGATTGAACAGACTTTTTATAATGGTTTGTCTGTTTAGTACCGTTTGAAGTGCTCTTATTTAAAGTGGTAAAGGAACATTGTCTCATTTCAGATATTGTAGGTGTGAAGGGTGGTAGGTTTGTCCCACATTCTCAGAAACTAAACTCTCACTTGTGACGATTTAGCAAACCTCGAGCTGTATTTCGTCAATTTTGATTCCTCACAAAATCAAGTGGCCTGTAATGAAACGCGAACTTTCAAATTTATGACGAAAATGTTCCTCAATTCAGGATCTCATCTTAGTGCTTTGTGGGAGATCGCGGGTTCGAATCCTGTTTCAGGCACAGGTGTAATTTATCTCTCAGTCTTTCTGGTGTTCTTGGGATCACATTGATCCACCTATATTCTGCCCACTATAAAGTGATTATTAGAATAGATAGTGCATTAGGCACAAGAAGCTTTTTTTTTTAAAAAAGTCAAATAGAGCGACGAATTATTTCCTTAATGTTGAAGAAATTAATTTCTTTGGAGAAGTGACAATAATTATTTTGTCACTCTGATGAAATGTTTGCTCGGAGGTTACATCAGGAAACAATTATGTCACTTTGTCACTTTGTTTCGTGATATTTGAGTATGCATTTTTCAAAAAGTATTTAAGGCTGTGAATCGTGAGATTAGCATAGGTGGTTCATAAACACGCACACCTTTCTCTTAAAAAATATTACTTAGATGATAAGCAAGAAATTTTTTTTTTCTTAGAAATTTTTTCTTATGAAATTCCAATTTCAATTTAACTTTATGATTTGGTTAATATGAATATTTACTGGTTATTATTGTAGCAATACCCAAATAGGGAAAATTAAGAAAAACATCAGTGTAGAGAATACTGCAATCACAACTAACCTTCTTAAAACATTAGCGTTGAAAATATCGTTGAGTGACCCTTAAAATTACATTCTTTAAACTTATATGAACATTTTTATACTTTGCAATTTTGAAACTTCTTCCACACTTTTTAAATAAAGTAATAAAAAATTACAAATGTGTACTGAAAGTTATATTTTACATGGAATTATCTTTGAAGAAACGATTTTTATATTTGTGTACAAAATGTTTTGAACTCACTTAAATTTTTTTCGAGATATGGTGAAATACGCAAAAAATAAAACTAACATTAAGAGGTCCAAACTTTGGACTGCTTTCTTGACAAAACTTTGAAACCATACTTCCCAGATTGCGTCTCCCTCCTTGTATTTTGGGGGTCAGATCTCCGAATACTGCGAAATAACGTCTGTTTATTCCGAGAAAGTGCATTTTTGTGTCTCAATTCCTAACTTAAAATATCATCTGCACTAATTAATTAGCTTATTTGTTGTCAGGCCCTCTCGAAACCTTAAAATTGAGTCCTAGAACGAGAAAAACCAATCATTAGAACAAAAGTTATTCGAGGTGATCCGTTTTTTATTTTGCGTACTGTGCACTTTCAAACAGTTGATATCCTTATCATGCCTTCTTTAATTTATTTTTCGCTCATTAATTAAGTTCAAGTTTTCCTAAATGTAAATTGTCTTTCTTTTTTTTATTTGAAAATAAATAATTTTCTAAGATTTGTTATTTCAAGATTTGTTATTCATGCATGCCCGGATAATTGAATTAAATTTCATAGTGATTGATAAAAGATTGCCACACTTAACAAATCACTATTATGTATCGAGTCAGATTTTTTTTCCGCAGACTAATAATTGTGATAATTGGGGGGCGTAGTGTGTTAAAACCTTGAAATGATTAAAATAAAGTAGTAACACAAATGCGAGCTGTCGTTTGGAAAGGTTACAACATCGTGAGGAAAGGTAATTAAGTAAAATTTAAAATAATGCCTTTTTAGATAAAGTATAAAATTTTGAGTTCATAAAATATTAGTTACTTACATGTTTTGTTATTAAACCAACATTAGTACCGATGATTCTGTTTATGACACATTAAAAAATGAAGATATAAAATGCTTAAAGGAGCTACTTACTGGCACTCTGATTCAATTCAAGTAATAAAAAAAATTGCTTATTGTATTCAAATACTAATATCTTAAGCTTTCGATCTTTCTTAATAACTATTTTACCTTTGTTTAATGAAAGTAAACATATTTAATTACGAATTTTCGTTTTTACATTTAAGTTATGATTACAGAAATCGTATTTTTTTTAAATATTATTTTTATAATATTTTTTTCAGTTTTAATATAGTAATTTTAAGACCTGTACACGGGGAAAAAATTCTGAATTTTCTAATTAATTTATCGTATTGTATGGTAATGATATTTCTAGAAAAAAGAAGCATAACTTTGGTTAATAAAATCAAAATATTAAATCAAATCTTTTTATATGGTCACGGTTTACCAGAAATTACGTTTTTTTAATAGTTCTTTTTACCGCACATTGAGTGAAAAATACAAAGCTACAAAGTAAATTTAAGCGAATAATTTTGTTTATGCCTATGCCTATTAAGGTATGATGTCAAAATTGTCAAATTTTACCACATTTTATCAGATATTAAAACAGTATTTTGTCATTAATTTTACCAAAATCATTATCAAAGCACTTTGCTAAAAGTTACTGAGGACTTTTTGTTGTCTCGACAGAGCTGAAATCGTAGTAAATCGTAGTAATATATTTAAGGGCAATCACTGAGTTCCGTCTAATCGCAAAGAGAACGTTTTTCCAAATAAATTGTTTTAAAAGGACTTTAAAAGAAATGAAAATAACATAAGTATAAGAAAATAACATAACCAGAAAAAGTATAATATGTAATACAAGGATTTTTATTAAATAACTTTAATTTTCTCAATTCATCCTCATTTAAATTAAAGGTTTTATGCCCAATATATTTTATAATTAATTATTTTATTTGATTTTTAATTGCTCAAAAGTTTTTTTTCTGAAGTACGATAAAAAATACTTAAAAGTCAGCCCTAAGTGGTTTAAATAAAAATAAAACTGTAATTTTCTCTTTTTTTTTACAGATTTACAGACTTTCTTTTATACATAACAATATATAACACGTAGTTATTTTACTTTTTCAGACGTGTATTGCTTTGTAACGTTTCCATGATGAAAAGAACTATTGAAAATATTAATTAAATATCATTTCATACTTTTTTTCTACTTTTTTGCATAAAAAAAAACAAAATTATTAATAATAAAGAAAGAAAGAAATTCTTATTTTTGTAAACATTAGAATAAGGCTTCCATATAATTTTCTATCGTGACAAAGATTTAATTTTCAACGACTCTCAGCTAAAGTTTAGAGGAATTTGAGAAATAAGAGCATAAAAAAACTTTTACATTCGAAACTAATTTGAAGAATGCTTACCTCAAGATCAAACGTTGCCGCCTTTAGACACGCACACTGTCTGTAAGTCGAGAAAGTCCAGGAGCGCCGGATGCAATCAGAAAAGATTTTCCACTCTGTCTTTAACACTGGCTTCTTAAAGCTAGGGATACTTCTCCACGCGCCTACAACACTCGGCGATAGATGGCGGTACTGATATCAGTAATAAGGCGTGTCATATTACGTAATACGTTGATGGGCGGGTCTGTTTGGTTGCCAAGGCTACCAGCCCCATCTTTCCACGTGTTAGAGTTTTAATCGAGGAGTTTCTCTTGCACCGAAGCTATGTGAGTGATGGTTAAATAAGGGAAATCCGGCTTCCTGAAAGTAAATATTGTACTATCCGTCAAACTATCGTCCCTCTTGCCACTTTGTGTCCGGCAAAATGAAAGGTGGCAAAATATTCGAGAGCTTCTATTTGGATCCAGCGTTTTCCCAAAGATTTTTCTCTTGTTTCGAATCTTGTAGAGTTTCGAAATAAGAAGGGAATTTATTTAAATATAAAACTTTATAAGTTCATATCATTTTCTTTTCAAATGGAAAACATATTAAATGTTCAATTCTTTTTTATGTCTAATAGTAACTTAAAGGCTAAGATATTATTTTTTTTATCTAATTAACTGCTTTCTTTTACTGAATAATTACTATTTTTTAGTTTTTCTTATTTCATTTATTCAGTTTAAACATGACATTTAAATAAATGATCTTTAAAGTTTCTGTTTCTATTGTGGGAAATGAAGACTATGTCCTGTTCTTATTTCTTGTTCTCGAGCATAAAAAAAAAAATTAAATCTATATTTCATTAACATTTCTCTACGCAGTAACATTTTTGGCTTTTTAATTTGCTGCTAAAAGATAAGTCTTCTCATGCTACTAGTTCACTGATTATTGCCAAAACCTCGTAGATCATTCTTAGATCTTAGATCATTTTATATTCCAAAAAACAATCAGAGACAATGTGATCCATCGAAGAAAATTATCCTTAATGTAGGTAACGGTAAAGGTCTGCATGGGATCAACATTAAAGGCTACTGACGAGCTATTTTCTCTATTGCGTTACGCATTCCTTCATTGATAATTTTGCATTAAGCATATTTATAGTTATAAACACAGAATTTCTAAAATTTTTATATTTATAAGAAAAGAAGTCCAAATTTATGAAATTGTTTTGATGTAAGAATTCGGAAACTTCCTCTAACTTTCCCACTAAAAAAATGTCTCAGAAATCAAGTTAATATTAGGTAATAAGCTACATGACTGAAATTCGTAACTCAATCTCTGTCTCAAAGATATTTTAACATGACATAACGAGAAAAAAATGACCCTATTAAGATTTAAGCAAAACTTAGATAAGAACTTTTCCTGATAAATCTTAATATTTTTAAAAATGCCATTTCCATTCCTCATCAATTTAGAACTTTAACTATGAAAAGAATAAAAAGAACCACCCTTGTTATATAAAAAAAAGCATAGTTCGTTCATTGAGCTGTTCTTAATGTTTGCAAAAGTGCTTTCAAACTATTTGCATAGCACAAATATTCATTCTTGCAACGGGTAATTATGTTTATCATTCCAAAAATGACAGGTGTTTCTACTACTTTTTGATTTTCATGTCTGCTTTTCTTCTAATTCCTAACTTTTATAACGATTAAATAACTAATATGAACTAAATTAACAATTTATTTAACAATTAATAATTATTTAACAATATCAGTTATCAACAATAACGATAATAATATAATATTTATACAATAAATATTACAATAATAATTTATTGTACTTAAATATACATAACATTACTTGTACCTGAAAGGATTGTAACTAAGCACCATGGGTCTCTTTTGTGATTTGACGTAACAAATTTCGGCTGAATGAACCATACACTAAAAATGTCTTTTCTCTTCTTTATTTATTACAGGAATTTATTTATTTCTCGTGAGAACAAAACAGAACAGTTTTAAGTTGTGAAATAATTTGTTTGGATAATTTATCCTAATAGTGTCAAAAACTGTCTCCATCTTTGAGGGCTTCTAGATCTCTGTAAAAACACTTTCCCTGCCTATAAACTCTCTGGGTAGTGAAGCTCCGATTAAGTAACTTATTCTGTTAGAAGTAAAGGTTCATCATTCAGTTGTTTATCATTCATTCCACGTCCACGCTTGCTGCATGTAATTTTTTAAAAACCACTTGCGAATTTTTTTGACCCTCTATTGCCCGATTAAAAGTAGTAAATTAACTTTTTATAGGGCTTTTTTTCTCGAATTGCTATGTGAAAATATTCTCGCGACTGAGATTGATTTATAAAAAGAATTTCATTTAGCTTATTACAGAAAGCTAAATCAATTTTTAATACCTTGTTTTTGGTGCTAAGGCGGATGGGTTTTTAAAAATTTTACGTTCTGTAAAGAATTTGCCATAAGTTGAACTTCTGGACTTATAAGTAACCGAAATTATAAATTGCTTGTTAATAACTGCAAATAAACTAGATGAGAAATAATCAGGTAAATGAAAGCATGTCGCATTTTTTAAATATTATTTTGATTTTTCAGTTCTTAATTAGACGCACCAATAGGATTAACAATAAAAAATGGCGTAATATTTTAATGTTTTTGAAAAATATATTGCTAAACTTAGCCGGATACCTTAAATACTTATTTTTTTATTTTCTTGAATTTAAATATTTTTTTATGTAATAAAATTCTTATGTGGTATAACAAATTTAAAAAAGTATTTGTGATAAAAAATAACGGACATTAAAATGAAACAAATATTGAAGTTAAAATGTATCAAATTTATTTGAAAAATAGGTCGATATTTTTCTACACATAAATGTTTTTGTTTCCGAGCTTAAGAGTGTATCCATGTATAAACACGCTGAAAGGCTACTATTATTGACGGAAAAACCTAGTTACTTATCGAAGTTTCATCGTGAGTGCTCCTATAAAAAGCTTTTTTAAACTTTAGAAAAAGTTAAGTATATTCTAAGCCTAGCCCCGTATCTTTGTTTTTTTATCTCTAGTCCACTAAGGCAATAAAAAATATTTCTTCTAATTTAATCACATTAATGAGTTATCAACATCATACATTATTGAATGGAGCATAAAACTGTCTGTACGCGCAAAACATTTAATAAAAAAAGGAAAGAAAAGAAATCACATTTTTGCATTGAAATTAAGTTTGGTACAAAATCCAGATTCAGAAATGTTAACGTTTATGCGCGTATTAACTAACTATTAATGCTTCTTAAATATAAATTTTTTTCACATTTAAATATTTATTTACAAATACAAAATTATTAAAATGTAAAATAATGAATAAAAATGGCTTACTAGTTACATTAAAATGTTGGAAAATTCAAATAAACAATTATTTGAGGCGTCAAGCGTGAAAGCAAATATATATATAAGACCCGCATTTATAGATGTTTAACAATATATTTTGTTTTAACATTTGTTGATGCATTTATATACAAAAATAAAATTTTCCCATAAACAGAAGACCTTGGTAATTGGGTATAATATAGCCTGCGTCACAGGTTGTGTTGTTCCTACTAAATTTAACCCATGAACGGCATTTTCTGCGAGCCTAACTTCAAGCCACAAATAAACAAACGAAGTGTTCGATTGTTTAAATAGCTGCTCGCCAGATTTTATTGCATTATAAAGAAAAGTTATTGAAACTAAATACAACTAAATAAACAACAACTAAAACAAATAACAACAACTACTAATAACAATAACTAAATAAACAACAACTAAATTCCATTCGTTTAGCATTGCGTCATATGTTGTTCCTACTAAATCGAAGTAGTTGTGTTTTTTTCATATTATACCCAATTAATCAGAGTTTCATTAGAGCTAAACTATTCGCTAAAACTTTGAGCAGAGTTTCAAGACTGGAAACTTTTTATTATTTATCTAACAAACTAAAATAATATTTTTTGGTTCGTTCTCATCTCGTTAACGAGTTATTAAAACAGCTTATATTTCCAAAAGGTAACACAAAACTGTTTAGGCACAAAGAGAACTTCATAAAAAGAGAAAATAAAACACATTTTTGTATTTAAATTAAGCTAGGTAAAAACTCCAGAATCCAGAAAATAATCCTAATTTTAATGTTTACTGCCATATTACCCAATGATTCATGCTGCCAAAAAACACGCCAAAGTAGAAAATCTAGGACAACTTCTAATCGCTTTTCTAGAACAGGAGATGCAAGAAACGCTTCATAACTTTTTTTTCTCTAAAATGTGCGATTAAATTTTACTGCCCATCTACCGCTACAAAAAATTACTTCGATAAATTATAAGGGCAGAGTTAAGGGAAAGAGATTATTTTAAATCATCATCATCCGGGTATTAATTTTTTGGGTCATATAAACTGCGGAAAGAGGAGGGTTTTTTTTTTTATCGAAAAATAAAATGAAGACATTTCGCAGTCTGAAGAGGTTTTTAATCATTTTTCCGGAAATTTGAAGTGTCTTTTAAAAATACTCCGCACGTTTTGTTCCTACTCAGAAAATAGTTTTGCTTTTTATTTGTGTTACAGATGATACTTTAATCGTGAGAGAAATTTTTGTCATTTTTCGGGAAATCATACCAAAAACATAGAATTAAAAAGTGTACTTTTGCGTTAACGTTTTGTTTTAAAATTGAAAATATATAATACTAGTTTTAGGTCATACACGCCACAATATTTTTATTCGTAATACAATAAAAAATATAATTTAAAACCTTATTTATATGAAGATTTTATGAGGATTGAAATTTAAAATTTGGAGAACTTGTAAATTTTTGGCTACTTTTGAAGCCAAAGACCAGTAGATTGTCAGGCTTTTTACAAATATTTTTAAACAACTTAACACTTTATATCATTCAATGTTTTATTTTATAACAGGCGTTTGGACAGTCAACCTAATTCTGAGTTTATGACTAAAAATGTTCAACTCCGTAGACTTGTAATTTTGGACCCAAACCCAAAAGACAGAGGAATTCCAGAATTAAACAAAGGGAGAACCAAGCATTTGTGGTAGACTTTTTGTTGAAATTCACCCGCATTTGCGATACATTTA